GACCCTGTACTGTGTTTTTTTTACACCACACTTTGTTTTTTTTGTGAATGAGTCACGGGACCATGTACCGCAGACTCATTCATCTGGGGGCCCCCTTGTTAAAGGGGGCTTCCAGATTCTGATAAGCCCCCCGCCCCCGCAGACCCCCACAACCACCGGCCAGGGTTGTGTGAGGAAGAGGCACTTGCCCCCCTGCCCCAAAGCACCCCCCTATGTTGAGGGCATGTGGCCTGGTATGGTTCAGGAGGGGGGGGGGGGGCGCTCGCTCGTCCCCCCCCCTTTCCTGACCTGCCGGGCTGCATGCTCGGATAAGGGTCTGGTATGGATATTGAGGGGGACCCACGCTGTTTTTTTTTTTTTAATTTTCGGCGTGGAGTTACCCCTTAACATCCATACCAGACCCGAATGGGCTTGGTATGGATGGGAGGGGGGACCCCACGCTGTTTTTTTTATTATTTATTTAATTCACGGAAATAATTTAAAATTCAGCTGTCAGTGGGAAACCCCGATGACAGCTGAAACATTCCTTCTGTCCCTGCAGAGAGCTCCGCTATTATATTTGACATTAAAAAGTATAGAGACTGCAACATTGTATCCATTTGTATCCATTCCGGATATAGATGTTTTTATTCGGATACATATAGATTCAATGTTGCAACCTTTATACTTTTTAATGTCAAATATAATAGCGCAGCTCTCTGCAGGGACAGAAGTAATTACTTCGCTATTATATTTGCCGGCCGTAGACGGGGCGAAACTCAGACAATTTTTTTTACCATTGGTGGTAACGTCGGCCCATTGAACAACCGATTTTTCATTTTTTTTTTTTAAAAAAAAACGGACAGTTTTTGCCCCATCTATGGCCTGCATTTTTCTTTTTCTTCTTTTTCTTATTCTTTTTTTAATTCTTCTTTTTCATTTTCTTCTTCTTCATTTTCTTCTTTTTCTTGCAGGTCATGGCTCATGCGCAGATTTTTTATCTGTAAAAAGATCAGCCAATTTGCCGATCATTGCCGCTAAAATCGGCCGATCTGCAAAATCGGCGGATTTTTATCCAAATTTTACCAATTAAAAAAAGTGGCAAAATCCCAAAAAATGGCTGACCAATTAACCCAATAACGGCCCGAAAATCAGCCGATTTTTTTTTCGGACGATTTTAGACCCATTTAAAGCAGGCCATAGATGGGTCTAAAATCGACCGATTTTTCTGCCGAAAAAAAAATTGAACGATTTTCGGGCCGTTAGTGGGTTAATTGGTCAGCCGTTTTTCGGGATTTTGGCACATTTTTTTTATCAGTAAATTTGGAAAAAAAAATTTCCAACTTTACTGATAAACAAAATATGCCAAAATCCCGAAAAATGGCTGACCAATTATCCCACTAACGGAAGAGGCCCTTGTCCCCATTAACATGGGGACAAGGTGCTTTGGGGGGAGCCCCCCTGCCCCAAAGCACCCCCCTATGTTGAGGGCATGTGGCCTGGTATGGTTCAGGAGGGGGGGGCACTCACTCGTCCCCCCCCCCTTTCCTGACCTGCCGGGCTGCATGCTCAGATAAGGGTCTGGTATGGATTTTGGGGGGATCCCCAAGCTGTTTTTTATTTAATTTTGGCCTGGAGTTCCCCCTTAATATCCATACCAGACCTGAAGGGCTTGGTGTGGATGGGAGAGGGGGGACCCCATGCCATTTTTTATTTATTATGGTGCTGGTTTTTAAATGTAATTCTCCCCTTTTTTTTCTTCACTATAGCTCAGAAATTCACCTGTCACTTCCCCTCCCCCCCAGCTAAAAGAGAAAGTTTTCTTGAAATTTATATCCCTAAAGGAAACAATGTTTACTTTGAGTTTATTAAAAGATACAAAGTTTTCTGTAACTTCGGGGAAAGTGACTTCTAAGCTTGTGAACTATAGTGAAGAAAAAAAAAAGGCGGCATTTGCATTTGAAAATCAGCGCCGACATACACTTTGTATTGCGAAAAAAAATGATTAACAATTGTGTAAACCGAGGCATTATTTTCAATGGATTTTCATTTGTAAACCGAAAATTACGTTAACCAAGTTGTTGGTACACCGAGGTACGCCTGTATTAGTATTGCAATCCTTTGTATTGGGATACATAGAACCAACATACATCTGAATTGGCAACATAGCACAACATTTGTGTCACATTGGAGATATCTGGCTAGTTACACTGACCTTGCCCAGGGACTTAGGGTTGATTCACACCACAGAAATACAGGCTGGATTAGTGTTCAACAGCTCCGTGGATTAGTGGTTAGCACTACTGTCTCACAATGCTAGGGTTGTTGGTTTGAAACCCAACCACAGCAATGAATTTGCATGATCTCTGTGTGACTACCCTAACATACATGTGCTGGTGGCAGCATCTTTGCTTTCTGTTTAAATGATCCCTAGAATGTGAATTAGAATGAGGCCTTGTCTGTTCAAACACCTTTAAAGTATCACCTTATGTGAATGTCAAAGGATGGGATGAGATAAGGGCCTGGACTAATGATTGATTGGATAATGCTGGTTTTCACTCCACCTCCTTTTGGGAAAGTTTGTTAAACCATGAGAAGAGTGAGCGAAAGAAATGGATTAAAAAAAAAAAATAATGGCATGGAGTCCCCCCCCCAAATGCACCTATAAAGTAGCACCTTATGTGAATGTCAAAGGATGGGATGAGATAAGGGCCTGGACTAATGCTGGTTTTCACTCCACCTCCTTTTGGGAAAGTTTGTTAAACCATGAGAAGAGTGAGCGAAAGAAATGGATTAAAAAAAAAAAAAAATAATGGCATGGAGTCCCCCCCCAAATCCATAACAGACCCTTATCTGAGCATGCAGATACCACATGCCTTCAAAGATTTATTTCCTTTGTTGAATTGCCTGCTTGGTTCACACTAGATGTGATTTAAAATTGTGCTTTTTGTTGGCAATTTCACCGTGTTTTCTGTAGATTTACCAATGAGTTATTGCGTTTTCAATTGTGTTTTGCATTGCGATTTCTATTGTAGTCTATATGTGAAATCGCTACAAAATGCTGAAAAAGTTAGACGAGAACTACTTTTGAAATTGTGCTGCAGCAAATTGCTTACGTTAAGACACTCACATCCACATTCATTAGATCCGATATCAGGTACAATTTCAATTCCCAAATCGCACCTGAAATCGTGCACCCTGGATGCGACTTGGCATGCGATTTGCATGGCATGCGACTTGCAAATCATATGCCAAGTCGCACCCTATTGTCTGCTATTAGAGCAGTCACATGGGTGCGTTTCCGACACTGATTTCTATAGTAGTACATGTACTACTTTTGTGGCGATTTGCATAGATATCTGTGTCAGATATCTTGCAAATCGTAAGGAAATCAGCATCTTCACTGTACGTCGCACAATTTCTAAATCGGCTTTGATGTGACCGCGGTGTAAGGCCTTTTTATGTTTGATTTCCTGAGTGTTTTTCCAATTTATGGAAAATCCCACATACTAGCAAAAGTGAATTGACATTTTCAGTATTGCATGCGAGATGTGGTCATGTGACTGCCTTAACTCATGCGATAATCTGGAGTGAATTGTGCCCATAGGGCCAAGAAATATTACCAATAGGGTTCCCTTTCACATTCCCTGTTCAATGTTCTGTTGTATGCTGCACAGGTACACGTCACTGTGGCTTTTTCTGACTCTGATTTGTGGGGCCTGTATACCAAGGGTTAACGCAGGTGGGAAGAGGATTCATCAGGTGCAAACACTTTCTCTGACCAAATGAATGACAGTGGTGGGTGTGGCCTACCTTATATATAGAGATGCAGTTGGGGATGATTTTTGCCTTGTACAGGCACATTATTTCTGCAAGTCCTTGTCTGTGTGGTTTGGGGAGGAAGAGATATTGTGGTGAATTGCCCCAGGCCACACTCACGCTGTGTTTGGGGGGGGGAGATATTGTGGTGAATTGCCCCAGGCCACACTCACGCTGTGTTTGGGGGGGGGAAGAGATATTGTGGTGAATTGCCCCAGGCCACACTCATGCTGTGTTTTGATGTGGGCTGTAAATGTTTTGCATGTTCTTCCTTCTAAGGTGTGTTTGTGTGTTATTGTACAATGATTGTGTGTTTATTACCTTTGCATTGTAATCCTAACACATGTCCATTGCTCTGCTCTTCCAAGTTTGCTTTATTTAGAATGAAATGCAGTTTTCAGACAAACATGGTGAGAAATGTATGTGTGGGGGATTTGGGGAGGTGGGGAGGTGTTTTATTTTGGCATGTATGTATTTTTATATTGATATTTTGATCTGCAGCTTGTTTTGTGAATAAGCCCAAGTGATTAATATTAACCGTTTGTTTCCTGCTGTATCCTGTGAAAGCACAGTTCATTAGAAGTATAATCTTTTAGATTGTAAGGTCTTATGAGCAGGACTGTTCTATTTTAGCAACATTAATCCTGCTTTTTTTTTTTTTTTTTCTTCACCAAGAAATTGAATGTACCTACTTGTTGTTGCTGTCCAAATAAATGTGGAATGTGTATTTGATCATGTAACGGAAGCGTAGGCAGGACAGAGCACACGGAGAAGATGGGGAACACACAAAACTTTATTGAAGCAACAAATTGACAGACACTCAATGGGGAAATGGCAGGGAGGGTGATGTGTGCGCAAACCAGGGACGATCCCAGGCACGGGGGGTCTTCAGCGACAGGCAGGCAATCTCCCCCCTAGGCTTGGGGCCTCAGCCGAGCTCCCTCCGTGACTGGACAGCGGATTGGAGACTCGGGCAACAGGTGGCAACCTACCACTGGGCAGGGGCCTCGGGCAACAGGCGGCAACCTACCACTGGGCAGGGGCCTCGGGCAACAGGCGGCAATCTACCCCTGGGCAGGGGTCTCGGGCAACAGGTGGCAACCTACCACTGGGCAGGGGCCTCTGGCAACAGGCGGCAACCTACCACTGGGCAGGGGCCTCGGGCAACAGGCGGCAATCTACCACTGGGCAGGGGCCTCGGGCAACAGGCGTCAATCTACCCCTGGACAGGGGCTCGGGCAACAGACGGCAATCTACCCCTGGACAGGGGCTCGGGCAACAGGTGGCAACCTACCACTGGGCAGGGGCCTCGGGGACTCAACGGGACTCTAGCTGTGGAGACTGGCCACAGCACAGCTCCCACCCAGCTGTCTAGGGTCATTGGGTTCACGGGGACTCAACGGGTAGCGATGGCTCAAGCACTCGGGCACCACAGGTAGCTATACTCCGGGCATGCCATCAGGACATGGGTGGTCAGTGCACACACAGCAGAAACAGTTCAGGACACGAGTGGTCGGTGCATGCAGCGGGGACAGTTCAGAACACGGGTGGTCAGTGTGCACAGCAGGCACAGTTCAGGACACAGGTGGTCAGTGCACACACAGCGGAGACAGTTCAGGACACGAGTGGTCGGTGCACACACCGGGGACAGTTCAGAACACGGGTTGTCGGTGCACACAGCAGGGACAGTTAAGCACATGGGTGGTCGGTGCACACACTGGGGACAGTTCAGAACACAGGTGGTCAGTGCACACAACAGGGACAGTTCAGGACATGGGTGGTCGGTGCACACACTGGGGACAGTTCAGAACACAGGTGGTCAGTGACAACAGGGACAGTTCAGGACACGGGTGGTCGGTGCACACACTGGGGACAGTTCAGAACACAGGTGGTCAGTGCGCACAACAGGGACAGTTCAGGACACAGATGGTCAGTGCACACAACGGGGACAGTTCAGGACACAGGTGGTCAGTGCGCAATTCAGGGACAGTTCAGAACACGGGTGGTCGGTGCCCACAGCGGGGACAGTTCAGAACACGGGTGGGTCGGTGCACACAGCGGGTACAGTTCAGGACACGGGTGGTCAGTGCACACAACAGGGTACAGTTCAGGACACGGGTGGTCAGTGCACACAACAGGGACAGTTCAGGACACGGGTGGTCAGTGCACACAACGGGGACAGTTCAGGACACGGGTGGCCGGTGCACACAGCATTGACAGTTCAGGACACTCACGGTAAGCAGCTTGCAGACCCTCAGCGGCAGGCGGCTTCAGACAGGAATGACCAGCGGTCAGCGTTCTAGGGACAACCAGTGATCAGCAGACAGCAGCAGCTCCCAGGGCACTCAGCAGCAGACAGCCTCCAGGGACACGCAGCCACGGACAGTGTGCAGGCTCCCTCAGCAGCAGCTCCCAGGGCACTCAGCAGCAGACAGGGTGGAAGGGTGCTCAGTAGACAGGCTTACAGACTGGCAGGGTCTCAGCTGTGGGGTTTGACCTTTGAGGAGAAGGCTCATGCAGATCTGTGGAGACTCCCAACCCTGGGGTATTGTAGAGGGCTACAGTCCTGACCTTTTGGGGTCTGCAGAGTGCACAGTGGGGATGGCTTTGGGGAGGCACGGTCCCCCTCACCCGAGCCTCCCAACATCTTTCTGGGAGCAAGATGGTTATAGCCGCATGGCCAGGAACAGAAAGAGAGGGGCTACTTCCTGTATGAGAGTTTTGAAAATCAAGTGGGATGCGGCTAGGTTGCCTCGGCAACGGCCGGCCCAGCAGATTTCAGAATGTGCCAGGGGGAAGGGAGGGGTGAAGGGATATGGCGGGGGATGGGAGAGGCACTGGCAGTCTGTGACAGATCAATAAACATTTGGACTATGTATTTTTTGTGGGATTATTTCATGGTCTAATTGAATGTAGCACAGTGGCTAAGTTATAATGAAATATACACAGCATGAAACTTGCACATTTCCTAATTGGCAGAAGAACAGGACGCAGGTAACATTCATCCACTTTCTAGTCATTAGGCAAAATCATAATTGATTGATCAATATTCCTGGCACTGACACAACCCAGAAAATTGATCTCCATTTTTTTAACGTTCATAAATGTCAAGGAGCTAATCTAAGGGCAGAAACTCAGCCATGTACTAGGCCCAATGAACCTAACAGCATGTCTTTTGAGTGTTGGCAGAAACACATCCATACAGGGAAAGCATGCAAACTGGGATGCAGCCACGACCCAAGTGCTGTAAGTTCTGAGCTCTAACCACTAAACTACTGTGGGAGACACAGTTTGAGATACAATGTAGAATAGTTACATTGTTTAAAAATTATAAAGCGAGCGCTGGTCAATGATATACTAAAATGGTATTACACAAGATAAATATAACCACGGACAGTAGTGCATGAACTCATGAAAGGTCATCCACCCCTGTGACAGTCTACTACACTATTGAGCACCTTTCTGGCTCCTGTGGCTGAGCCAATTCCTCCCCAGGACCATTTGGGCACCCACCCTGATGGATGGATGGATGGATGGAGCTGGATGACTAACCCATAGCTGCCAGCATACCGCTGCACCCCCAGATGTGTGATGTGTATAACCCATGCACATTAATACTTTTGTTCTGGTGAGTGTAGACCAGTCCCAAGGGTGGTTTACCTTTCACGAGTTCATGCACTACTGTCCGTCACGGAGAGACCACACGTGCCATTCATAGGCCCTCTCTGAGTTGGTACTCTCACACCAAGGACATTCCATTATTCAGGAATGATTAGATGAACTTATTTTAGCACCATTTACAATATTACATCATTGTTGCAATTATTTGCACTTTTTGGTTTTTACATGCGTTCATTATTGATCACATGCATTTATAGCGCTGCACTTGTCTATACCATAGAATAGTTACATGATTACAGAGAAGGGAGATATATCATTATATTGGGAACTTAGAACTAGACATTCCCAATTATTTCAGATATAAGTGTGAAAATGTATAACATCTGAAAATAGAATGTATGACATTCATTAGTAAATGCATCAGTTGTCTCATCATTTTGGAGAAACAGCAAAAAACAAAAAAAAAAAAATATATAGGTGTACTAATTATGTTACATTCTAAGTATTCTCTCTTGCTAACAGGAAAACGCCAACTGTACAAAGCCCGCGCTTGTGCGCCATCTAGCGAACATATCCGGTATTGCACCTAAAATTGTGCCAGACGCGATTCCACATTTACTAATAGTAAAGTAGACGTTCGTCAATGAGATTGCTAGACGCCGCTCAGGAGACTGACAGGTCCTCATTGATTTAATTGACTCTGCCTGAATGGTCAGCGTCTGCTGGTAGACTCACGTCTTAGTAAATCAGGGCCCTGATGTCTCATTACAGAGAACCCGTCACCATAAAATCCTATAGGGGGATAATGGTCAATTATGTGATAGCAATAAAGATAAGTGAAAACAATGAAACTTACACAAAAACACTTAAACCCCGAACCAAAATCTTTGAATCCCCTCTTACATACAACCAAAACATGGCTTGTACCACACACATTACATCACGCCATGCATGGCAGAGTGAGAGCAATCATTCTCCATCCATTATTCAGGGTCACCTCTACACCGAGGACCAGGAAAGGCATTTATAGCGCCCCCTATGGGCCATTATTGAAGTTTTGTCATCAGCACACACAATTCTAGGGCTGGACACGTTGGGTATCTATTTACTCGGCACAACCTCATTATTTACAGAAATAACTAAGTAACAAATGTCATCTATGTGCTCTAAGATTACAATGAATGTATTTGTACTGAAATGTAACATTGATGAACTATTGATTTAATATCATGTGACATAAAGCTTGTACCTACCGCCATTTTATTCTGCAGGTCCTCTGATTTCAGAAATATATGTTTGGGGGGGTTTAACTAATCTTCAGGCCTAAAATGTGGATTGTAATATATCTGATTCATACTTCCCATCTCCTGACTTCTTGAAAAACACGGCATAGCAATCCCCCCCCCCCCCCCCCCGGGAAAGTTCTTGTACGCCCCTTCTGTGTAATGGGGGATTAACCAAATGTCCTCGGGAGATTTGCTGAGCTGATCAAACATTTTACATCGATTTAACATGGAAATTGTTGTGTTTGTTCACTAGTGTGATCTGTGTCCTCTGTGTGATACGTGTCCTCTGTGTGATCTGTGTCCTCTGTGTGATCTGTGTCCTGTGTGTGTGATCTGTGTCCTGTGTGCGATCCGTGTCCTGTGTGCGATCTGTGTCCTGTGTGTGATCCGTGCTGCTCATACTAAATGGGACTGATTTCTCTTTCTGCTTTACAAAGAGAATAAATTGCCAGATTTCTGCTCTGTGTACAGAGTCCTGTGTTGTTAGTAAACACAGAGCCCTTTACTGGAATTCACTGAGCCGATCAGCAGGTTTTTATATTAAAAAATCAGACCTCCAAGTGTTTGTGAAATCTCCCACCACAAAATGTACTCAGCCAATGACAGTCAGGACTCCATTTTTATTCTTCTCCTGATATCAATGGCCAACCCGGTCCACACACTTCATCCACGTCTTTGGGGGCCTCTGATCTCCTTATCAACTGTTTCTTCCATGATGAAGGTCAGCCATGGAGTATATCTGAGGTGTATATCAGGGTGTGCTTCTTCCCCACATGAGAGCTGGGATGTCCAGCAACATTCATCTAGAAGACATTACCCGCACTCAAGGCACTAATACACCTCCAGGGTTGTGTGGGACCCCTGATGTACAGGAAGACAGGACTTCAGTGAGGAACATTTCCCTCACTCAGGACAGGAGAGAGGCTTCTCCCGTGTGAGATCTCTGATGTTTGTGAAGACTGAACTTCCATGAAAAACATTTTTCACACTCAGGACAGGAATACGGCTTCTCCCCCGTGTGAGATCTTTGATGTGTGTACAGATGGGACTTCTGTGAAAAACATTTCCCGCACTCAGAACAGGAATACGGCCTCTCACCCGTGTGAGATCTCTGATGTGTGTAAAGATTGGACCTCCGTGAAAACATTTTCCGCACTCAGGACAGGAATATGGCTTTTCACCTGTGTGAGATCTCTGATGTCTGTAAAGATCAGACGTCGTCTGTGAAAAACATTTCCCGCACTCAGGACAGGAATATGGCTTCTGCCCCATGTGAAATCTCTGATGTATGTAAAGCTTGAATTTATCTGAAAAACATTTCCCGCACTCAGAACAAGAATATGAATTTTCCCCTGTGTGAAATCTAATGATGTGTATACAGAGATGACTTCTGTGAAAAACATTTCCCGCACACAGGACAGGAATATGGCTTCTCCCCTGTGTGAGATCTTTTATGCACTGTAAGACCGGATTGAAAGAGAAACATTTCCCACACTCAGGACAGGAATATGGCTTTTTCAGCTGTGTGAAATCTCTGATGTGTGTAAAGATGGGACTTCTCTGAAAAACATTTCCCACACTCAGGACAGGAAAATGGCTTCTCCCCTGTGTGAGATCTCTGATGTGTGGTAAAGATGAGACTTCAGTGAAAAAACATTTCCCACAATCAGGACAAGAATACGGGGTTTTCCCCCCCCGGGGAGATCTTGATGGTGTAA